TTTTGAATGCGTAATAGAATTTAATAGGAGAAAACAAATGGGATTTTGTGAAATTTAGTATAAAGGCCTACAGAAGGTTATGCAAACTCTGAAAGATTTTTCAAGCCATGTTGCAGAATCTAACTCAAACTATTCAAACGTAAAAAATTCTAAATAATCATTAAAATTTAGCAGAATATTGTTTTCATATTGCATTTAAGAGTGCTCCTTGGAGAGAAGTTTCCTGTCCTCATAAAAATTGCCTGTGGGACATGCTACTTGTCATTTGGTCCTGCAGTGGCAGAAGCATGTGTGCTTCTTGGTATGTGATAGTTTTCTTGCAAATCCCCAGCAAGCCCCCAGCCATGAGAAGATTGCACAGTTGGTGCTGTGCACTATGCATATCCCTGATCCCTAATGCATCCTGCTGTGATCTAGCCATTTTATTTTTTGTCTGGATTCTCTAGAGGAAAATCCTCTTTTATTTCTATACATAAGAAGAAGGCCCAAAACACAGGACAAGTGTATTTGGGCCCACTTAGGAGTTCTGGGTGGTACCACAGCGTAAGATACCCACCTTGATATAAATTTTAAGGTAGAAGAGAGAAGCACAAAACTAGCATTGTAGGGAATTTATTTTGCTCCTTACCTTAGTTATCAATGAGCATGTTTAGCTGATCTGGTTTTGCTTGTGTTTCGAGCCCGTTTGCTTTCTCATTCTCATGCCCTAAAGCATTTTAGTTTTAGTCACTGCATGACATCGCTTAAATCAGAGTTGGAATGAAGTCACAAAGTGAACAGTAAGCCAGTCTTTTCCAAAATTTATGGGAGGAGACTGTGTCCACAATTATTAGGACAGATTGGTAAATGAATATTGACCAATGTGAAAACAAATTCACCTTAGCTTAGCTCTTTTTTTCTTTTATTTTGTTTTATCAAATTAGTTGTTTGTTAGTGTTGATTGCAAACATATTATTCATGCTTCTGTTCCCAAGCATCCAGCCTTTGAGTTTCAATGAGTAAAGTGGTTTGGAAAGAATCCAGATCAGTTCATGCAGAGGCTATGCACGTCAGTAGAAAACTACTTACAGAATCTGAGCATGGATTTTGTACGTACTTTAACCCTAAAAAAAGACTGTGCGTATATATATGTGCACATGTATATATGTGCATATTTACAATTACATCAGTCCAAAATTTTCAGCAAATCACTGTGTTGTTTCACATCACCATACATATTGCAGAAAAAAATCAGGTTTCATTGTCCTTTAGGGAAGCTCATTTTAGTTTACTTTCTAATGGTTTGCAACAGTTCTCATCTGTTTTGTAGTAGGGAGTCTGAAAAATAGAAGATTTTTAAATGTTTTCATGCATTTAATTTGTAACTGTGTTTAGAAAATAATAATTTAAATACATGCAATTTTTCCTAGTCAACCACTCTAAATTCATCCTGAGATATATGTGAAGTATTCAAACTGCTTGAAAAAGAAACTGTTTTCCTATATACAAGTTCTGTGCAATTACATGACAACATATAAACCATACCAATTTAGGATGTGATCTTAATATACTGGAATTGGTGGATCAGAGTAGTGTTCGCCCTCTTCTGCTTCTTTCTTCAAGAGGAATTTGAGATTGATCTTTTCTCCTTTTACATATGCTCTCGTTCCAAGGCTTCAAAGTGTTATGAGTAGTTCAAACAATACTATAACTATGATATGTGCAAGTCCCATTTAAAGCAGCTCACTACAATACAGTGATGTCTTTGAAATACTCTGTAAAGTGTTTCAACTTTGAAGTAGTGTGCAATGCAGTGTGTCATGTTGCACAAATGGGTAATTGTTGATGTTTTACGGTGACCCTGACTGGGCCGTCCGGCCAGGATATATGTCTCCTTTTAGCCTTAGTGAGAAACACTTGGCGTGCACCTTCTTACAGGTAGAGAGCTGACCTCTCTGGACTTTCTCCATGCAGGCAGTATGGATGGCTGTGAGAGTTTCATGTGAGAGGTCAGCTGAAAGTGTTGGATCTGCAGGTCAGACCCTTTTGGGTCAAACCCACAAAAGATCCTGCCACCTTGCTGTATGAATTGGGCAGAGGGTGAGGTCGTATCGTACCTCCTGTTGCCCAGCCCTGAAGCCTTTCCCAGGTACAAGGCACACTTCGAAGAGAGAATCACTTCATTTGTACTGGTTACACAGAATCATAGAACCATTTAGGTTGGAATAAGATTATAGGGTCCAACCATTAACCTCACAATGCCAGGTCCACCACAAAACTGAGTCCCTAAGCACCACATCTACACGTCTTTTAAATACCTCCAGGAATGGTGACTCAGCCACTTCCCTGGGCAAGTGTTCTGGTGGGGCATGAGCCAGGCTGTCTTTTTGCGGAGAGGTGCAGGCACAGCTCTGGAGGGAGATTTAACATGGTGTGTGGTGTCCCTCTTCCTGGGCCGTGTGTCCGCAGCACCAGCTGCTCGCACAACTCAGCACAGCCTGGCACTTGAGTGGGACAAATCTACTGGGACCCAGAGTCAAGGCAGAAGTCACCAAGACGTGACAATGCCTCCTCACATGTCAGAGTCCATGTGGCAGAAATTCATCACTAAGAGAAGGGCTCTCCATCTCCCTGCTTGGTGCTAATCATGGAGAACAATGCTGGCTGCTTTGCAAAATATTAGTACTGCTGTACAAAATCTGGGCCTCTGCTTAGGGCCGGCTGAGTCAGACTTGTTTACTTCATTGAAGTATTAATCTCTGTCTCTGATTGGCAGTCAACAACTCCAGTCTCCAGGCTTAATAAAATTTAAAACTGTAGATTATGCACTTTTGCTGAAAATATGAGGCTTCTGTCGCACTTCGAATGATGTATTCTCCCTCACTTCCCTTTGGTCTGTTTTTCAGGGCTGAGGTTAAGATAGATAATTAATACCTCCCATCCCTAGCCTTGTCTTTTAATTTAAGAATTTTCTTTAACATCTGCCAGACTCTTCTGCATGCGCTCCTGAGAGGTTAAGCAATGAAAAAGCCATTAAATTAACTTCAGCCATTAATTTTTTTCAGTAGGATGAAATAGCACTTCAGTATATCAAGTAGCTTCTGGTTTATTTCATATCATGATAAGGAAATGTGGGAAGAAGAGGCTAGTTTTCTGTTTCTGTGAGAGGATAGTGAGTGAGGAGGCCCTGTCTTCTGGTCCTGCAGCTTGCCTCTGTGTTAGCGAGAAGTAGGACACAGAGAATGAATCATTGGAGGGAGACAGCTGTTGCCAAGGGCCTGAATTGGGAAGATAGCAGGGAGAGGCTTAGCTATGCTTGGCTAATATATCACTTTCCTCAGAAATACTTTGCTATTGCCTGTGAAGCCTTTTCTGAGAATGAAGCAGTGTCAAGCTCTGTTACACTGTGCTTTGATGTGTTGTAAGGTCCACGAATGCTGTCACTTGTGAGTCACTCCTGGCCAGGGATCTGATCACCCTCCTGCTGAGCAGTCTGCCCTGTTCTCTGTGCTATGTACTTGCCACTCCAAGAAACCCGTATGCTCTTTTCACAGGCATAACTTCCCCACTTGGAAAATGGTGTATCTTAGATATCTCTCAGAAATAACATGAAAACAAATTAGTACAAAATCTTCTGGAATGGTCTCTCTGCCAAACTGCGTGTTATACCTGCTGAAAAGTCCCAAACAGTAGGGCAGGATTGAGCTTATGTGTAAAGAAACATAGCAAAGGGAAAAAAATGGTTGATCTTAGAGCATCTTGAATTGGCGATTCCATGCAGAATTGATGGTGATTTATAATGCACCAGTTATTGAGGCTGAAATGCCACTGCGGCAGTGAAAGTTCACATGCTTCGTGCCTTTCCAGTTGTTCTACTTCTGTGTGCATCCAGTCTCATTCTTCTAGCAGATTTTAAGGATCTTCAGTCTTTTGCAACTACATCATATAGCTTTCGTTTCACAGACTTGACAACTTCCCTGCCTTTGGCAATAAAAGAAAAGATTAGTGCCAATAGGTTGCCCTACTGAGTTTTGGGACAGATGGTAGTTGGAGCTGCTGAATGTCAGGAAGTTTTGAAGGAACTCAAAGATGCATTTATGGATCAAGCCTCTTGTGCATGCACTGGAAACCCAGTGTTAGATTACCTGTGTGCATGATGGGTGGGCTACACGTATGAGGACAGTTTGCCTGGGCCACAGTTTGCAGTGCGTGATTTACAGATCAGTTATGTACTTTTATTGGGTAGGGTGTGTAAGGTTTGCCAATGATCTGAGCTGCTTCTTGGCATTGTTTCTGCTTACACATCACTTTGATTAATAATGTTTCCTAGAGGATATATGTGTGGTAGGTATATATTTCAAACCCAAGAGAAAGTAAGGACCATCTGAATCAGTTGTACAAATCTGTAGAGTAACTATTGTCATTACTTCTGTCTGAATAAAATAACATTGTTCTCCATTTCAGTTTTGGTATAGCTGCCCAATTGCTTGCAGAATAATGTTGTTGCTACCAAACCAGAATACTATATTTTAATAGTGTGGAGATATTTTTAAATCTCAGTATATGCTTGGGATATATTTTGTTCATCTAAGCATAAGCATTGAACATTAGTTGTTCTAGATGCCTCTGTAGTTAACAGAAAGGCATCTCTCAAGAGACACTCCTCCCATCCTTAGCTGTGTCTCCAAAATTATTTGTGCAAATAGCCCCTGGCTATTGACTATGTCTCTATAGGGAGTCTGAACAATTCATTTGGATGGGTTAAGTCAGCTGCAGATGGTGAAAGCTGTGAAATCTGATATGATGCAATTCCAAAATCTTTGTGGGCTGCAAGCATTATGCCTGATGATCAATCTATTCAGCGTGATTCTCCTTATTTAAAGAACTATTTCATGTTATTATTTTTCCACTCTGTGGGTAACTGCTGTAACAGAAGTTGTGGAGAGCATCACAGATTTAGATAATGCTCAGCCGGTTGTTCACTTCTATTGTCTTACCTGTATTTTTTTTGTCTTCTTTAGTCTTCTGGTACCAGTATCACAGTGGATATCGCAGTCATGGGAGAAGCACATGGGCTCATTACAGACCTTCTGGCAGATCCTTCGCTGCCCCCCAACGTGTGTACTTCGCTGAGAACAGTGAGCAACCTGCTCAATACGCAGCTAACTTTCCAGGCCATCCACAAGCCAAGGGTGAACCCTTTGGTGTCCTTCAGTGAGAACTACACCTGCTCTGACTCAGAGGAATGTCCAGAGAAGGGAGAGAAACTAGCTATTCCCAAGGTGAGTACTGGACCATATCTATCGTCCTGTAACTTGACTCTCCCTACAGGGACAGTGCTGAACTAGCTCTTTGCTTGTTTGCTTCAATGAACATCTTATGAACTAACCATACTTTACTGTAAAAGGACAGACAAGTACACTATTGTTTTCATAGTAGGACAATTCCTGTATATCCTTCAACTCATGGCCAGGTTGGTTTTGGTTCAGGCATCTTTAAAAGATGATATTCAACACAGGATAGCTCACATAGATGGTGTGCGTGTTTCCTCACAGGTGTGGTTGGAGCTTAAAAGAGAAGAAACAGGGAGCAGAGCAAGCAAAAGCCTTTTAGCATCCAGACTCACGAGTCTGCCCTGTGATTTCTCATACAGGAATTCCCCTCCCACTCAAAAGATTTGGCCCACTCCATGTGTGATGATTATCCTAGTCAATGAGCGGTGGGGAATTAAGTAATGACATGAGGGACCTTTCTGCCCACTTTCAAGACTGGAATTTGAAATTCTATATCAATTTCAGTCTCTTCTTCCTTCCCTTAGCTTCCCTGACCCTATAAAGGACAACGAAAAAAATCTCTATTGATAACCTCCAGGTGCTTTGGATCAAGTTTAAAATGTCATGTACCAAACAATCAAAAAATCACCACAGTACTGACAAATATTCTGAGCTCCTGAGAAGTAGTTTTGAGAAGAAAAAGAAGACTGAACCAGAAAATATATAGTACTTCCATGACTGGTGGCTTTATGAGTGCTGAGGAATCCGACAGGAAATTAACCAGTGTTAACCACCCACATTTAGTAAGTGAAAAACTAGAAAGAACACGTCAGCTTTGAGGTAGTTTGAATTGTAGGTTCGTTGCTAATTAGCTGTCCCACAAGGCTTAATTTCACTTTTGAACCTAAACCAAAATACTTTTATACTGCAATCTCCCTTGTAAAATTAAATATAAGCAGAGTACATTGCACAGGCAAATGCTTTTAAGTTTTACAGTTCAAATAGCACAGCCAGCTTTCATTCCAGCGTTTCCCCGCATCTGAATTGCTACACTTGTGATTCTTTAATAAATATATTTTGGCGTTATGACTATTAATACCCTTTTTGCCTATGTAGCAGCTGTATACACAAAATGTATGGTCACAGGTTTTTAAGTGCATTTTCCAGTTTATTTTAGTGTGCATGTCTGTAATGGCTGTATTCTAGGCTCTGAGGGGAAAAGTTAAGTGGAAGAACACTGCCATCACATGAGCAAACACAGTGAAGAGATACCAGTTTGCTGTTGCGTAATACCTGGTGAGGAGAAGGAAAATGCAGGATAAATGAGTTAATGCTACGGAGAGCTAATCTGACTGAAGAATTCAGTGACCTGAATGTATTATGGTTCATGGAACTAATAGGTTGCAATCTGTTATTTAAGAGTCTAAATATAGACATATAGGGTCTTTACCTTAAGCATCCGACACTGAGCATTTTGGGTAAGGAGATGGTATGTTAACGTATTTATCTGATAACATATTTATCTGAAAGTCTGTCTTCTGCCTCCTCCTATCTCTTAACCCTCTGGCAAAGTCAAAGCTCTCCCTCACAGAGACATACCTATTTTAGTTCTTAGCTATAAACACTTCACAAGAACTACAAGAGAAACGTCTTACAAAATTATAGCATCTGCAACAGCAAATCTGGATCCACAAAGACTCTCTGTTGTCATCCTTTATTATCTCTGCCTTAAAAAATTTGGAAAAACAATGTGAGTCCTGTTAGTGGAGAAAAAGAGGAGTCAGGTGAAAGAAAAATGAAAGATGATCAAGAAAAATCTGCTGGAAACAGTGATGCTTTCTCAAAGCTTTTCAGGAGACATCATATCCCATAGCATGAAAGTTCTATTTCAGTTGGTGATCTTTGGATTGGGTAGATAGCACAGAGCTCCTCTTCTTTATTTTTCTTACAACCTTTCTTGCCTTGAATCTCTGGTTCTGAGCATTCGTGAAAGTTTAAATCACAGAATAGTTGAGGTTGAAAGTGCATTTGGAGATTGTCTAGTCCTGTCCAGAGATGATCTAGTCCATTCCCTCAGTGTAAGCAAGTTGAGCCTTGAGCAGGTTGCTCAGGAGAATGTCCAGCTGGATTTTGAGTATCTCCATGGATGTAGACTCCACAGCCTCTCTGGACAACTTCTTTCAGTCTTCAATCATCCTCATAGTTAAAAAAATAAGTTCTTACATTTAAATGGAATTTTTTGCATTGTGATTTGTGCCTGTTGTCACTGGACACCACTGGAAAGAGCCTGGCTCCATCTTTCTTTACACACTCCCTTCAGTTATTTACATATGTTGGTAAAATCTCTCCTGAGCCTTCACTTCTTCAGGCTGAGCAATCCCAGGTCTCTCAGCCTTTCCTTTTTATGACAGGTGTTCCAATCCCTCAGTTACTTTTGTGGCCCTGATGACTTGTTTAAGTGCTTTTGGCCACATCATGTAAGACCAGAATTTTTAAAGAGCACAACCAACACTGGCTGACTCCAGTGAGAGTTCCAAGTGTTGAACGTCTGTGGCTATGAGACTGTGGATATATACCTTTTTTTTTTAGGGAGGAGGTTCAGGCCCTCCAGGCTTTTAAAGCACCAGCAGTGTTGATTTGAACTCAAGGTAGGCACATGATACCTGGGAGAATCCAAATTTAAGGTACCTTACTAAGTGTTGTCAGGCAGAATTAATCAAATGGAAATGGTTGTCTCCTGCGTGTTTAAAGTTATTGTAAACTTATATAAATTCTAAGGAACTGATTTCTCTCTAGCGCTTGCGGAGAAGTTTGCCTCCAGGACTGCTGAGACGAGTGTCCTCAACTTGGACCACAACAACATCAGCCACAGGATTACCTACACTGGAGCCAGCTCCGGTGAGAAGGGATCGCAGTGCCAGCATCAAACCTCATGAATCATCTTCATCCAGGTTACAAATTACCTCCTTTCTCTTTCATGTCTCTCTTTGGGCAAATTTCCTTGGTTCTGTATGGTGATGTCTCTCTTTCAAAAATGCTGACTCTTAAGTGTATTAGAACTACTTCTTCGCATTTCTCTAAATTGGGTTGCCAAAGAAGTTGTATTCCCAATTCTAGTCAGATTATGCCAAAAGCTATTCTTATTATTGGGAAGCAAAATAAAAAAGTAAATCTTTCTCTGCCAACGAAGTGCAGAATTACACAGTAAAATTGGAAACAAGACAAGATATCTAGTTAGTCTTCTAAATATGCAGGAGTTTCCACTATGAGTATTGCCTAGCCAAGAAAAAATTCTGACAAATAAACTAACTGCTGAACATCACTTTTAAGAACACACATAGTGGTGTGATCCTGTCATTAAACCAGTTCATAAAGCACTTGTCCATCCTCTAGGTACTTACTTCCAGAACACGAACCCTAATTTTAAGTGGATCCTCCTAAAATATACAGTTTTGTGGGTTTCTCTCCATAGAAGTGGAGTATCATCAGACTGCACAGCACTGTACATGCCCTGCATCCCATGTACACAATTCCAGAATAACAAGAAATGCTTAGGGCTCCCTGAATTAACTCATGCAAATGTAATACCAGCAACAGATGGTAAATAAAAATCATTGAGTTAAATAAGACAAAAAGTGATTTACTGGAGAGCAGAAAGTAGATTTGTTACCAATGGGAAAAAACACACACCGAACAACAATATAATCTAGGAGTAAAATTACAAAGGAAGATTTGCTAGTAGAAGCTGAAAGCAAAGCTTAAAATGAAATGGGCAATGTTAAGTTTTCTTGCAGGATAGTTGCAGTACTTTCCCTGGTTTTAAGCACTGCAGTGGAACTCTTCTTTCACACTGATCACAGAGTTCAGCTTCTGGGATTCAGAATCCCGACCGTCCCATCCTTAATCCTAACTGTCTCATCTAGTTAAAAGTCTTTTCCTAATTTGCCACAGGAAGCAAATACAGAAGCAAAAACACAGCTGTTTTGTTGGGTACAGACTGAGTGCCTGCTTCTATTTATGATGTATTTATTTACTTATTCATTTAAGATGCCCCATATTTTCAAGGGTTCTGTAAGCAGGTGCTGGAAGAGTCATAACTACAAAGCAATTATTAATAAAGCCTTGAAATTAATTTCAGCAAAAGCACAGTAAGAATTGTATATTATTTGTTTGTCTTGCCTGGAAAAAGAGTTTTGTTTTCAATCATGACACAGACACTTTAAGGTTCTGTTCATATAGTGCATCATACAAACAGAGCACTGGATCTGCAAAGAGATTTGCATGGGCTGAGGTACCTACCTACTTCGTTTTGTGCCTAACCCAAGATTTAGTTCCAGTTTCCTAAAGCATATCTCTGAAAGTCTTTCAGAGTTACCCAGAAGCACACTAGTTCTCACTGTCCTGAAGAGACAGATTTTTATTTTATGGCTATAGTCCCTCAAGGCTGACTGCATCAGTTAGCTATTCACTGCTCACTCTCACCCATTCTCCTTTTTCTCAGGGCCTGATCCCTGAGCCAGTATCATAAAATACGTTGTCCACTCATGAAATAGAGAGAGAGAAGTTGTGTCTGCTTAGCTGCTTACAGGCAGCAGACTTACTTGTTTAGGGCATTTGCAGAGGACTACCCTAATAAAGTTGCTTCTCTGCCTGGAAGCATCCTGACCCAGGTACCTTGAATTTTCAGACTTCAATGCTACCAGATAGTCTGAGATGTGCTGCATGTAACCTTCTACAAGGGCTGTGGCAGATAATCCAGTAGCAGCCAATGAAGGAAGGAGTTGAATAGATGTTAGTCTTGTGGGAAGGGCGCTTGTCTGTGGGAAGAGAGGTGCGGGTCTCAGGCACTGTTATCTATTGCTTAGTTATTTTCAACAGGAGCCTTTCTGGTTCTATGAATATTTTTGCTATTCTATTCAGAAATGAGCAGAGCCTTCAGAGGAAGGGTAGAGGACGGTTAGTCTGCAGCCTGGTAGTTGTGGTGCCACCCTGTGAGAATAAAGGTCAGGTCCCCTGCCCAGCTCAGCAAGGGCTATCATCTTGGAGCTAGTGGATGAGAAGAGAGTATGGAGACATGGTTTGCTATTGGCAAAGGAAGAGCAGAGCAAAACCACCAAATACAGGAAGAGAATTCAGAGACATGATATCAGAAGACTCACATGTTTTTCTACAATTCAAAATTTGGTGCTAGTAGTGGAGAAAATGGCAGGACCTGGATAGGCCTGGCATCACCGGTGTTTCTTATTGGATGGTTTGGTGAATGCATCCCCAGAAAGCTGTTCTGGTCAGCCTTTATTCCAGATACATAAACCTTTGCCATAGAGGAGGCTCTCATGCAGGGTGCCTTGGTGCTCAAGGCAGCCTGCAGAGTAGACTGAATGTCTGGTGCAAGAAAAATATGTGGTCAACCAAAGTTCCCTTTCTCAGGAGCCCCATGTATCTCAGTAAAAGTAAATACAAAGAAGCAATAACCAAATGGAAATGTTCTTCTGTCACTGGCCTGTGTTTCCCAGGGTGCATTTGATTTATACTGTTGATCCCAGAACTCTCACGTAGTATGTAAGCATCCTAAGATGGGAATCAGAGGGAGAAGGAGAGCAATTAAGTATTATTGTTGATCCTTTTCTACAGTTGTTATATAACTCTGTATGATGAGCCAACTAAGCAGGCTATCAATTCTTCCTATGTTTAATGCTGCCAATTGAATAATTATAGTTCTGACAAGCCTCCCAGCCTACTGTTTGCAGTTCTTCTTTTACAGTAGAAACAATGTGTATTCCAGAAAGCGGAAAAATGAATCTTATAAGTCTAGCTTTAACAATTTTGGCAGAATGATACAGATTTGCTTTCAAGGAAAAGAATCTTAAACTGAAGGGACAAAAATATCTTGATTATCTGACACCTACCCTGTACCAAATTCAAGCATACTACAGGTCACAGAGAAAGAAACATTTCATGGCTTGAAGGATAGGAGAGCAGGAGTGGGACTGGAATTACCCTGTGGCAGATTCTGCAGTTAGAAAATCTGCAGCTTTTCCTTCAGTCTGGGACATCACCTCTGGATTTTTTTACTCATATATTTGGAAAAATCCCCCTTCAATCTCTGTTTAAATTACTAGTAATCCTGTATTCTTCCAACTCCATGGCACTAAATTGGTAAGACATGGTCCTCTTATAGCTTCAAATGATTTGGGAAAAATAATAAAAAAAGCTTCCATATTCCTTCCCTCAATCACTTCTGTGTCCAGTCATTCTCCCTTAAGTCAAAAAATGTGGTCTGGTTTATCTTTCCAGTGGTCCGATGAGTTATATTGTTCCTGTCAATTAAAAAACAAAACCACAGACAAAAAAAAAAGTAAAAAAAGCAGTTGGATACTTTATTTGTCTTGAACACAGATTATAGGAATTCGGACCAAAGAAGACAACTAACAAATATTTTTGTAGGTAGTCCTTTCTCTTACATAACGAGGTGTTTGTAGAGTTAAGACAGTGTTCCCTGGTTTTATTTTTCAGAACACTTTTTGTATTTCCAAGGTTTTTTAAGTTCAGCTGGTACTAGGATGCTTTAAAAGGCTGTCTTCTGCCTTGCATGTCATCTCATCCCTTGGATGTGATGTTATGAGGAGAAATGTGGAGCCTGAGAGGCCTAGCAGGTCTGTCCAGAGAAGTCATAGGCCTCATGATAAGAACCAGTGCTACATCCCTGCAAGAAGCTGACAGTTGATGAGTGTCGTTTGGGAAAACAGTGATAAATACGATTTTCTTGCTTTACAGAAGTATTTGGCCTTTTCTGGTGCACAGTTATACCTGACAGCTGAAAGCATGCACCCGTGCTGCTGTAGGGGCCTGGCATTTGTTTTTACAGACACGTGCACGCTATTTTCCTTCAGTGAGTTTCTCTTGGATCAGTGACCAACATCTTCAGGGTCTGTCAATAGGACTTTTTTTGAGATGCAGAATGTGTTTCAGTTGGCTAGAGCATGAAGTGCTTCACCCAGAGAAGAGGCGCACCACTAGCAACAGCAATGCAGGGCTCTGCGAAGCCTCCTCCAGTCTCCTGAGTGGTTCCTCCAGACCCCGAAGGGTTCCTGGGTGTCTGCCCTGGTGTCTGCAGCAGTAGAGTCATGGAGACTGATTTTTCATTTACACTGAGAACTTCTGGCTCTTGTAAGGAGACGTTAAAAGAGAATGTAAATTTCACTTATTTCAACACAACTTTTAAGCCTCTTCATACTGTCAGAACAATATAATGAAGATATCTTTGTATAAATAAAGTAAATAGACCTCAGTACTGAAGGAAGTCCAGCTTTGGAGTGTCTGCTTTGTAGATACTTTTGCTGAGTACAATACTGAGTGCCTCACAAATAGTGGTTCAGCCACCTGATAGATGCCGTTTCATGGTTGGATTTTGTGCTCAGTATCGCATACTTCTTGCTGTGGCTCCTAACTTCTTAAGATCTCCCACTGAGGCATTTTACTATGTCAAACAATGCTTGTTTGCACTCTGGTTTTGCAGCACTGACTCCTGGAACAACTCAATTCTGATGACAATCACGAAGAGCAGGTCCTTCTCCACCTCCTACGCCATGTCTTCTACCAACCACCTGAATGCCAAAAGGCAGAGCCGGCAAGGTGAGTGGCATCCATGGCTCTGTCAGGATCACTTAGCTGATTCCCCATGGCTGGCACATGAAGCTACTTTTAATCTCTGTCCAGTCTGCATCACTGCTTATTTTTCCATCAATATATAGTTATTTCCTTTATTTAAGAAAATAAAAAACACAAAGAGCAAAACAGTGGCTTAAAATACCATAGCTCATAGTGATGCTATTATAAATGTTTTGACTTTCATGACTTATAGAGGTTAGTCGTGACATAATGTGGTAAGTGCAATACTAAATCGTGTTGTGATTTATATCCATGTAATTCTCTTGAATACAACAGGGATGAGAGCAGAGCATTTTCTATAACAGTTGTTAGATGAACTCTCTGTGTATATTGCCTGACTGAGATTTCCTGAAACACAACCTACATAATGCCATTTGAAGCTGTGGGCAGTAACTGTCCTGTCCTGTGCAAACATATTCAAGACAAAGTCAGTATAACTCAGAGGTCTATCTCTGTGTGTTAATTATTGAGAAAGTCCAGGTAATTCGTACTGATTTTTAGATTTGAGAAATGTGGGGCATTTTACTCGGCTTTTTGGGCCTTTAAAAAAATGACTTGACTTTTAAATGAGGGGAGGAAAATAAGAAGGTGACATCTTAATTGATAATGAAATTGGTATTATGACAGCCATGAAGTAGTCTTAATCCACAGTAAAATAGTGCTCTTCCCTCTACAAATGCAGGATAAAGTAACGTTTACCCATGCTTTAACTTGCAATTCAAAATGATCACAAGGCCTTCCTTTTTTAAATCAGCCTGTTTCTTTTTCAAACATGGAATGATGTTGAGATAATGTTACTCAGAGATACTGGCCACCCAGGCATCAGATGGAAATTGATAGATGCCTGAGGCCTGACATTGGAAAAGGCGGAGAATCCCAGTTTAGACATGGGTTTGAAGATATGGCTGCACAATTATTCTGCGTATCTACCACTGTCACATTGCATCTCCTTTTCAAACTGAAGAGTTTATTTAATCTTTTCTTATACAAAAGCTGCTTTTTTACACCACAGTGAAGATTAGGTGCACAATACTATCTTAAAAGGTGATAGGCACATAGGAAAATGAATAAATTGAACTTGGAAAGTAATGGACATGCAGTACCGAGAATCCAGGAATTTATTTTAGAACAGAATAAATCCAATTTAGAAGTGATCTTCAGAGATTAACCTATTAACTTGAAAGGGAAATGTGTGTGTATAATACTTCATACTTGGAAAACAATCCCATCAGTGAGTTTTACATTTAGTCTCTCTTGCTTCCAGAAACTGTTAATAGTCATCTCTGTTGCCCACATACATGAGCTCCCCCGTGATGAAGGGAGAGCTCCATTCCATCACAGACAACTCCTAAGGGCACTGACTGACAGGAGTAAAAATTTTGGCTCAGCATTTTGTGCAGAAGATTGATAATTTGATGGTTTAGACTGTTTACAGTCATGCATTTTTAATTATGATTTGTTTTCATGTTTCAGCTAAAGAATTACTTCCATTTGCACTCATTAACACAAATTAGACTTTTGTATATTAGCTCCATTGGCAACACAAAATAATTCTTAGTAGAAGTTGATCTAGCTAATTCTGTAAATCTGTTAATTTACAAAATGTGGCTTTAGTTATGCATGAAAACATAAGCATTTTAAAATACTCAGCCATATCTATTTGGGCAAAATTCTGAGGCAAACTCTAAGTGTTTTCATATGTAATTTCACATCACATTGAAGTTACTGTTTTATTTCTTCAACATTTCACATGTGTAAAAGAACCTAAGCAGATGGATGTACTTAAAAAAATTCTCTCCATATTTTTATTCTTCTCTTGTCTTGATTACTCAAAATTTCTTTACTCTAGCAAGACATGTTTTCTCTCATTTTTGCCAATAAATGGTTAAATGTTGTATTATTGAAAATGAGTTTACATTTTCTTATACATTTATTGATTCTTGGTTACCTGGCAAAATGCTCCTTAAAAAAAAACACAAGCAAACATATGTCAGGAGACAGGAGCTGAGACTAGCAGTAGAAAGCCAGATCTGACTAGAAGTACTATTGTGAAAATCGTTGGTTAATTTCCAGTGTTTGCTTTAAATTGTTGAAAGATGACCATATATATTGTGTTCGCTAACAGTCGTGAAGATTACTTGGTAACATATAGCTCGAAGATAGATAATAATCCACTCAATCCCCTGTGCAACTAACAGACTGCAAAATGGTTTTAAAGACGTATTTTTGTTGGATGGAAAGCAGATATCTCAAAGGATTAGTAAATGTGAAACAGAGGCTTTCTGTGTTTTAAAGCAATTTCCATATGTCATGACCATCTGATAACTTTTTAATTGCTGTGCAGGCAGTAGGTTTCTGATCTCAAGGCTAACATAATACCCTAGTTGCCATCACTGAATTAAGTCGGTAATACATACCACATGTTTGCTGAACAGATACCCTAATTAGAACTTGGGAGATGTTGGATATCTCAAAATTACAGTGCAGTAACTGTCAGAGATTACTTTTTAACTCCTGGATTGTCATCAGTAAATAATATTTTAACCTCATATCACAGTAAGTTGTTATCGGGAAAAAACACTGGAACTGTACACATGCATCCATCAAGATTAGTATTTCATAAGCTTAGATCAGCATATTGCCTTATTTTAAGATAATTTCTGTGTCTGCAATGCATTTAGGTAGAAGGCACAGTTCAAACATAAAACCACTTAAGGTTGCTAAGCTCTTTATGCCATATGGCTTTGAAGGTGAGCATGGTAAATGAACTGGGGCCAAGTTCTTACAAACTTAAGGACAGGAAGTAAGTCAATTTATATGCATTTCCTTTTAAGATAACGTTTGCTTCTCTGAATGAGACTTCTTTGAGGCTAGAAAATGTAAAGTGGATTGAAAAAGGAGGCAGCACTGTTTCAAAACATTGGACTGGCTGATGCATTTCATCTTGGCAGTGATGCTTAAGTAGAATATGGGAGAGAGAGAACTACATCTTGCTCGTGTTTGTACATGTGGATATTGGCAGTTTCTGATACACTAGCTCAGGAGTACAAAACCATGTGTACAAGTAATGGTTTTAAGTCTCCCATAGTGAGCAGCAGATAACGAAAAATAAACTCAAGCTGCCTAAGATTAAGGTCAATATCTGTGAGGAATGCAGAAATGGCACTGTAAGTATAGTATTTTATATTCACATAATCTATAACTACAAAAAAATTGCTTTTTTGGTTTATTGTTGGTCTTCACACATGCAGAAATTCAAATTTGCTGGGAATGTGTGTAAGCCTTTCTTGTCCCTGCTTTGCAGATGGAGACGGTGAGGCAAAGAAAAACTGCAGATGGGTCTGGGAACTGCCTGTTTGGAGTGTGGTGTGTCTATCACTAGAATATGTTGATACCACTAGTCATGCCACTAACACGTCTTTCATTTCATGCCTGCCAGTTAGTGCATCCTGCTCTACAGGGAGAATATGCTTTATATTTTGAGACAGATATTCAGCAGGTAGATATGGCTGATGTTAATGGAACTTCATCTCTCTGTGGCAGCCGTGGGCTTGCCTCAGAGCGGAGGAAGGTTTTCTCTTATTTCCATTTGAAAGCTATGCTGGTACCTGCACATCTCAAAAGAAATATTTCTGCACAGTGAACTCATACAACTGTCTGCCACTTCTGGTAATTAAGACTCTTCTTTTCTCTTGCCAGGTATCCCGCCAAATATTTCACCTCTCACCTCCCCATGCCATTCACCAATTCAGGGGACACCTGCCACAAGTCCTACCGGAAAAACATCTTCCGTGTCATTTCCAGACTCTACAGATATTGACACCAAGCAAGGCTTAAAGCCACATAAAGTCTTAACTTCTACACGGAGTGCACCTAGCTTATCAGACCCTATTATCAGCCCATCTGTCATCTGCAGCAGGTAAGATAGGAATTTGACATGCTTTGGGATCCCTTTGTGTTGTTATCACAAATGAAATCTTTTGGCCCACGTACAAGTTTTTTTTGCTTGTTGTGGTATCGTGTATTGATATTTCACCATATTTATGTTAGTAATACCGTAGAATGATGCTACAAAGCATTTTTGAAGCGCAAGACAGTTAGCTGCATTTACAGCTTTTACTCATGTCGGATGCAGTCTCATTCATAAATTCTTGGTCAATAACTTGCAGATCCCGAGGTTGGATTGCACATTAACAATTTGTGTTCCTCACACCATGTCCTTAATATGTGCAGTCATTTTCAGGTCACAGGCTGAGTCTTTCACAGCAGGCACCTGAAGTTTGGTAGAAAAATCTCACTGCTAGGATTTGAAAAGCCACTGGCCTGTAGCTTTCTGATAAAGGTGTCACAGCAATGCCTGAAGACTACATAATTTGGAGCACGCAGTCAGAAGAAGTGACTCCTGTCCTCCATGGGCAGCATCAAGATTATGTAGTATTGGGATTTTTTTCAGACATCAGCTGCAGCTGAGTTCTTTCTGGTGCTAAGGGTTACAGCGACATAGTTCAATTTCACACTTGAAAGTATGAGACTGCACAGGCCTGCTCTGCAAAATCAGCATTTTGGAAAGAAAGTTGTTCTGCTTATTTTCTCAAAAAGGACTCAGCCCCTAAGTTAGGTTACTGGAGTTTGCAATATGTGTCCAATTCAGAATAGTGGGAAGCACTGGTATTTGGAAGTCTGTTGCAGCGCAGCTTCAAGATTACCTTATTCATTGGATGTTACTTTTGGTCATAGTAGTGCGTGATTTGTGATTATTGGCTAGCTAGCAGACAGCACGTCATCTGAGGCTGGATTGAATGTTATCAAGTTTGACTATCTTTGGAAATAGTATTTCGTTTCTGGCTTCAGTCACGTGATTTTGGATGTGTCTCAGCACGCTGTGTGCAGGCCTAGGAAGTCGGTGTGAGAAAGTCAGAATTGGGACTGTGAGTTTGCTCAAGGGAGTCATCCTTACTGGAGTTCAGAGTAGGATCCTAACAGGCTTTTAAAGACGTATTTAGGTGGCTAAGTAGAAGCTAAGTGCTTTTAAGTTTTCCAAAGATATTGCGAAGCTGGGATTCGCACTGATTCATTTGAAGTGAAAACTATCTTCCACGTAAGAAACATACCATAAATGTGCTACTTCTTCTTAAACTTCTTAAACTTTATTACTGCTTCAGCAGAATAATATTACTTTTACTACTAAAGATTATCACTGGACACCTTATATTACACAGAACAGTTAAAAGCTGCATAAAAAAAGTTTTAAAAAATAATCAGTGTAAGGTTGTAGATAGTAATGAAATACATTTTCTTGATATGTCTGGACTTTGATTTCAATGTATTCATTGGTAAAACACCTACTAGCTTTTCTGTGGCTACTGTCTTCTGTGATCTATGTAGGTTGTATAGCATATTATGTCCTTAATTTCCTTATTTTCAAATGTTCAGAATGTTTAAGCATTACAGATAGTTACATTGCTGGCACAGACTTAGTTGGTGATTATTTGAAACAAGCACACTATTTAAATTATTATTGTGTAATGACTGCTGATAGAATTGGCATCCATTACTACTAATAGTCACTGATCCTTTAAGATCCATTGAAAAATCAGACGCACTGTCACGTTTCTATCCATTAGTATGTAGCGTTGTCATATCCACAGATACAAGCTGAACGAACAGCACATAAATTACACATCTCTTAGTACTGTAAGCACAATTTAAAAAAACTAGAAAAAAAACAACAATAGAAAACAACAACAAAAAAAGAAATTAAATGTCTAAGACAAGCTGAGAGAGTTAAATTAATGAACGCTGGAAATAAATCTTTTAGTGTTTGAGCTTTCACATTGTAGATTGCTAACCTTCATGACTAACAATCCCCTACGTTTACTGCCAAAAAACTGTCTTGCTAGGAAATAACGCCAAGTCAGCAAACTTCTGCCACCACCAAACCAATCGTTTCCCCAACAATAAAAACAGCAACAGAAGAAATGAACTCTTGATGGGTTCACCGCTTTAAATCAGATCCACCCAGGCAGTGGCATGAAGACAGCAGTTTTACTATTTTTTTTTTGACTTGCAAAGTGAGATGTGGTTAGACAGCAGAATGTAAAATCTGCATTAAACAAGAACATATACCAGGCAATGCTGTTAAAATAACTTGTAAGTAATCATTTTTAATTCTGCTTGATAGATGAGGCCGGAATCCTGTGAGGAAAATGTTAAACAATCTTATGATTAAGAACTGTATTATAATGCCTGTGCATGAAGGGAGTTGAGTTAAAGTTGCATGGGCACATTTACTTCTGACATAGAGCAGATTTCAAGTGTTCTACTAGGCAGCTTAGCAATTCATTCTTTTTAATATAGTGTTTTATGTAGACCATACATATTAAATCAGCGTGAGTTTGCATATGTTCTGGAAATAAAGAGGTACACTCAGTGACGCAAAAAGCCTGTAGCTTTACAACCAATCAGAGGCTATCTTTCTCTTCTACTTTTATATTTTGACTTGTTAGCACTGACTTTACAGAAACCACAAGGAATGTAGGAGAGAGAAATTAATACATTTTTTTCATCTTATTTATAAACCTGCATGATACAAGATTTATTTGCGTGGCTATGCAAAACAAGTATCATTGTACACAGATTTGTATTGTTATTTAAAATTGTTTCAGGAATTCATTATGCTTGCAGGGCATACCAAGCTCCAATGACCCAGTCAGAAGTCATCTGGCATAGGATTTCAGCCTTTTTTTTTATGGTAAACTTAGATTGGTGCATAGTTTTTAGTACAAAGTTTGACCAATCAAAATAATTCTGTAATAGTTGCTTTGCAAATATCAGATATGCCCCAAACACAAACCAGAGAAAGGAATGTTAAAATGTCATTTTTCTGTGGACAGATTTGATATAATACTACTAAAGGAGGCTTCAGATTTGTTACATTCTCGCGTGATTTCATGGTGTATCATTGTTCCTTCAGGTCCTAGAATCAGTCATATTGGGACCTTCTAATTTGAGGTGTTCCAGCTGGTATCGAATTCACATTTTTCACATTTAGGGCTTAAAGGAAATCACACACAAGGAATAAAGCATTTTAATAGAAGGGAAGAGCCAGGTGTTTGGAAAGGCCGTAGTATTGTGAGCCCTCCCACCACGTCTTTCTGTTGTGGGAATGCTGAAGCAAACTCTGTCTTCTAGTTTTGTTGCTAAATGTCTGGATGCCAGATCATTCACCTCACTTTCTCTCCAAAACGCCCCCTTGGTTCTGGTGTATTCTGTATGTTGTCACTGAATAGCAAAATACCTTTTTGCTCCTTAAGAAGAACATATGCAAATTTGAAGCAAGACAAAGAGAGTAAAACCACATTATGACTGTTCAGATTGATTTATGTAAGATTGTATGGCACTCTGACACATTTTCATAGTTTTTAATTCATGTTGAGCGTTTTAATTCATATTTATAGGGCAGCTGTAGCACAAGACCAGGGGATTTTTTTTTGTACTGATAAACTTAGAGAATAAAAAAATTATTTTAAAAAAATAAAATCACATGATACAAGTTTACTGATGGCAACACAGATTAAATGGTGGTAGACAGTTAATCCAAGCTCTTTTTGTCTTTTTGTACCACCGACTTCCAATAAAACTTCGGCTCTCTCTTGTAGCTTTGTCTAGAAAATACACCCTGTTCCATAGCACAATCTTACTCTGTTGGCAGGAAATCATTTTACATAAGACTGTCCAATGCGTCTGGTTCTTTACATTGTGCGTATTTCTTGATGTATTTCAGCTGTGGCAGACCCTATAACCAAATAGAAGCTGGTGATGGCACTCTAGATAGGAATGATGGTACCACACACACCCTGAACAGAACAGGTAATTCATTGTCCATCGAAAACTCTTCATCCCTTAAAATTCAGTAGTTGTTCACTGAAAGGGCAGATATGCCTGTCTGTCATAAAATGAGGACACCTGTAGGTGAGACCATACAAATTGACTTTGAGGCTCTTTTCCTCTCAACACGAGGATGGACACAACATGTGCAAAATGCTAATGAGGTAAAATATAAAGAAAATACGGTTTCCCCCATCTAATCCAGTCGACTCAAATAACAGTTCTCAAAAATTTTCTCACTCTTCAATATCTGGTCCCATTTTTTTATACTCTGCAGGGTATATGCTTTAATGCCTTTGGACAGATTGTCCAACTTTGGACCCAGCCAAGCAGCACATATGGATTATGAGTCAGAGATCCTGTTGCTGTTATTCAGAAGATCACAGGATGACTTTCATGCAGTCCTTGCTGTTCAGACAACAAGCTTTGTGATTTGTCTTGTAGATGATCCTGCACAAGCCACTTCTGACTATGAGACCAACAACAGTGATAGCAGCGATATCGTACAAAATGATGATGAGACAGATTGTTCCAAAGAGCAGATACGGAAGGGATCTGTCTGTAGGACGTACACGCCTGAGACCATCATTCTTCATCCCCTGATACCACCTGAGGTAGCTTGTTTAAGTTCTGCTTGCAAAATAGACCGAGTGTGCACTGGCACTGGGGAAAAAAAAAGGGGAAAATAACCACACCAAAAACAACAAAAAAACCCCTCACAAGGCAACAAAGAAACAACCACCACTACCTCCCTTCCCTCTCCCCCCCCCCAAAAAACAACCAAAAAAACCCCATAAAAACCTTAGGGCTGTTTAAAGATTGTGGCCATGGTTTTAAGCAACAATTGCAGGAAGCTTCTACCTTGCAGTAGGAGGACTGACTTCTAAGAATTGAAAGGAGCCACTGAAATGTGTGAGAGCTGCTAAGCACTGGCCACTTGTGAAACACTAACCATCTATTTTGATGAATAAGTATAAGTTTATGGATCTGGCATTAAGCATTTCTGAAATGTTTGGCTTCTGTGCTACTGTTGCCTTTAAAGGGAATGGATTGGAAGAAAGAGAAATTATCTTCTCAGACTGCCAGCATGATATATAGTCCTCCCGTTCAGCCACTTCAGCTTCTCAATGGCCTTGCTGTCTTGGCTAATATATGCAGTAGTCCTTATTTTAAAATAACATTTGTCTGAGGGAGCTGCATGGTACTGTTGTTGATGTATGTCGTGAACATAGTAACACTGTAGTATGGTGAACAAGTGCTGATCTTCTCACAGCTACTGTATTCAGCTGCAAGCCTGATTGAGGTATAGAGGGAAAGCTTTGATTAGTTAAATTTTCCACAGCCTGTTGTATAACTGAATTAAATTCAAGTTGGCATGGGGTCTTGAAAAATTTATCACAGCCTGTTGAGTCGGAATTAGACATGCTGAGAGAAGGCATTTTTCTTGAGATATTTTTACTCATCTACAGTTTCTTAGTAATCATGAAATTCAAGGAAGTATACCGGGAGAAATGTGAAAGGAGTGGTGCAACCCATATTCTATTTGCAGACCTTGAAAAGCAAGTAGGTTTCAGATTAAGAAGTACGAGTCTTCACTTGGACTGAGCTCCCTTAGCCATGTTAGAATGAATGGGTCCTGATGCAGAAGTAAAAACTGAGCGCTTTTTCGTCTGTACTGTGGCAAATTTTACAATGAAGAAGACACACCCTTTGAAATGAATGAATGATTCCTATGAATGAAGGAAGGAATGTGTCTCAGGGATACGTTCAGAGGCTGATGTTTCATATATGGAATCTCCTATTCATTCAAGTGAAACAAATTATAAAGGAGAGTGACTCGCTGCAGGGCTGGTAAAAATGGGGACATCTCCGCTGAGCTGAGTAAAGTACCATAGACTTACAGATGATGCTAATGTAACCTTACTTTTTAAGAGCGTATTTTTTTTGCATGAGATGCTTCACAGAACTAAAATTCCTCTTTACTTTGATTTCTGGCATTAGGACAAGCCTGTACTTGCTCCTGAGCCCCTGGTAATGGACAACTTGGATCCCCTGATGGAACAGCTAAATAATTGGAACTTCCCGATCTTTGATTTGGTGGAAAAAATTGGAAAGAAATGTGGTCGGATTCTCAGTCAGGTGAGAAGTATATCTTGTCTGCAGTGACTGACTAGCTTATTCACAGATTTATCAAAGTAGTGTCAAGACCTACTGTCCTTACAAGACGGTCATCCAATGAATCCCTGCCACCTAATTGAGAGTTGGCAATATGAACCTTGCCTCATTACATTCCTTACTTCTAAATTTCTGTATTTTTTAATTCAAAATGTGAAAGAAAATAATGCACATCTATTTGGCCTGCTGCTCTCTCCCAGTGAGTTCACATAAACCTTTCTGAATATTCTCTTCTATCTGCAAGATGTGCTGCCACCTCTTAATGAGTTCTCTGTAAGAGAATTTCTCATGGAGTTCAGCATGGGAGGGCTAATCAATAAATATATTCAGGTGATGCAGGAAATACAGAACTTCGGTCCTTTTTTATACTGGAGATTTCAGTCAGACTGTGCAAGAAAGCAAGGTTTCAGGACATGGGGAAAGAAGCAAACCTTGCTATTTTCCATCACCTTTAAAAAGTCAGAACTTCGATAGTAAATTCATGACATTATTACATATGATAGTAAATTCATTACATATGATAGTAAATTGATGACATTATTACATATTAATTTTTATTTACTGCGAACCAGGATGTGAGAGCTTATTTGTCTTTCTTTGAACTATAAGTTTTTCATTCCCTCCTATAAATTGAATACAGGTACTAATATAGCCCGTCTCTACCCAGCATGAATAATGTTACTTCCATAATCACTTTCTTGACTGAACTTTCTTTTCTTTCCTCTTATGGCCCTTTTCCTGGCACACTGACAAATTCGACATTTTTTCATTTTACAGAAGTACTGAGGTTTATTAAACAGGACGGGCAAGTTGTTGTTATTATTATTATTATTATTATTA